TGGGTATATTTTATTTTATTTTTTAAGAAAAAATTGTACTTTCTGTAAAATGGTTGGGTCCACGTGCGTTTCAGTATTAAGCTTTGTCGTCCATGGTATATACGATGTGTTCCTTGCTCCACCCATCACGAAGAATTATCTGACGGCAGGCAAGGGCGGCGGGCGAATAGTGGCTAGAAGGGGATGATGGCGGTGCGTGGCGGCGACGATCGGTGGCGGTTGGTCGCAGCGACCGCGATCGCGAGCAAAGGTCGACGACCGGAGTGCTGCGGCAGCCAGCAGCCGGCATGCTGCGGATGGCAGCATCTGGCAGCCGGCGTGCTGCAGTAATGCTCCGAAAAACATGTTTTTAAAATAGCTAAAACACAATTTCTGTATTTTTTATGTTTTGAAAACAAATCACATGTGTTTTAAAAACAAAATTAAAAAAAACAAAAAATGAATAAACAAACACTATTAATATGTTTTTTTCTGTTTTCCAAAAAAAAAAGAAAAGAATTTAAAGTGATTCCAAATAGGGCCTTAGCTAACACCTATGCCTCCTGTTGTTGAATGTGAACCAATAGCTGTTCTGTAACAAAACAACACCATGCAGATTCCACTATACAATAATAACAGCAATACATATATTATGTCTCTTCATGGTAAATATCTAGAAAAAGGTGTCCGTAATAAAATGCTGAGCACTAGCAAACTAAGAAAACTTTAGCTAAGAATTCTTACGTTTGGCTGAGGGAAAAAATTTGTTCTTTCAACTTTGCAGATGTATTCAGCATCTGCATATTTAATGAAATTCAAAGCCCTGAGAACATAAGAGCTATATATTTATAATGTGAAGGATTCATACGGATAAACAACGCTAAAAAAAATTAAGAGCAAATAACAAAGCAAGCTAATCATAATTTTTTTTCTCCAAGTGATCTTCTAAGGCTAACATTTTCTTTAGTTCAATGCTTGGGAATTAGCTTACCAATTATTGAATCAATCATAAAAATTAAAAAAAGAGGACTTCAATGACATGATCATTGACAGGCTGAAACGGAGTATGCAAGTATAAGTTTTGCTCAAATAATATAATATGAGCAAGATATCATTACCTCGTGGACGATATGCAAGTATAAGTTTTGCTCAAATAATATAATATTACCTCGTGGACGTCAAGAAAATCTTAGAATAAACTAACAACCAATACATATGAACCCTAATTTCCATTCAACAATTTTAACACACAAGTTGATATAAAGTCAAATCCTAACTAACGGTCTTCTCTGTCTTCTTTCACGCCATTGGCAGTCTACCTACGTCCCTCCACTGGTACTATTAGTTGTAGGGTCACTAACCATTAGATCATCACAATTATTGCCCGCAACCATCTGCTTGCTTTTGTACAGCTTCAATTCTACACTATCTTTTTAGCAATATGTATGGTTGTAAGTGGATATTTCATTTCATGGTTTTTAAAAGATTATTGTAAGTACGATGGAACTCATGGCATAATCTCTCTTGTTTTTTTATTTAACCTCTCCTTGCTTTGAAAGAGTTTTAATTTGTCACATCGCCCAACAACAGCATCAACATAATAGTTGAAAAATAATAAAGAAATGCTGGTACCAGACTAATATAGGTAAAAGTTATAAATTAACCTTATGTACGTAGATTTTTTAGGTAAATATACGGTTATAAAATTTTATGGTTATCATGTTGCTAGGGAAGTAGCAAGTGCAATTTCTTGTCAAGGCCTATAACAATAAATCTGTTAGCTGCAGTAAATAATCATCAATCATTATTCTTAATTAGTCACCATTAGTATGGCAACAGTTTAGAACTTTCTCCAATGCTGAAAAATAGTATAGGTCAAAGCCTACAGGCAGGCTCTATCATCACGACATAAAAGTATGGAAAACATTGCATCGAGAAGATTTCATACCTGAGTAGAAATTTACAAACAAGTTAATAGGCCTATAGTCAGAGGAGTGTAATTGGAATTTTGTCAACCGCAAAGCAGTCTCATCCTAGAGAAATAACACAAAAAATCTTTAACAATAATCACTTGATGGAAAGGAGTTGCTGCATGTAAATAATACTATTCCATGGCTTTTTTTTCCGTTGAATCTGATGCCCTAATTTTATATCAGCAAAGAAAATGGAAGTTTAACAGCTAGATGCTAATCGTTTTTTTTTAATTGAATAAAAATATTGATAAAGGATAGTTCTGCAAGAACCTCAAACATGATTTGGTAATGAACTACGTAAATAATTGGCAATTTTTGCTTGTGATCGTAGAAATGTAGAATCACTTGTTTCAGACTTCTGCAGAAACTATCCATCGCCAATATAATCCATTAACATTCATTTAGTTGAACAAGCAGAACAAATAACTTCTGGTTAAGATGAAAGGTGGCAAGCCAAACCTGAAGTAAAATGATAACATCAGAAAACAGGTCACCCATTGGAAGAAGTTGTTTCACGACAGCAGTGCTTATATTGAAAGGAAGGTTGGACACAACCTGACAATTGCAAGTAAATTGCTTATCGCAACTCATTTGTAACCTTCAAGTCGTTAATTAAATAAAAAAACAAGTATTGGTTCATCCAAATTTCACAATATTCTAGAATAGAAATGATATTTATGTGAGGAACGCAGAAAAGAATCACCTGCAAAAGCTAAATCCTCTTATTTTGATGAAAAACGATATCAAAAAGTTCTTCAGAGCCTTAAAAAAAAATTAGTTCTACCCTCCACATAGACAAAAAAAAATATTCATATTGGGCAAACTTATTAAGTCATTCAAGCCAAACTGAAAATGGCCTTGGAGTAAAGATGGCGTCCAGTAACTTGCTAAATCATCCAAGCAAAACAGAAAATAGGCGTGGAGAAAAGAGACCAAATTTGTAAATTCGTTTTAAAATTTGGACACAACTCACTGAACTCAGCTGCAAATATTTATCAGAACAAGGGTAACATATCCTTATGATATATACTCTAGCAAGAATTCATGCAGAAAAGCAAAATATATAAAAAACATAACAAGGCACAAAAAATAGTGATTTCTTTTAATAAGAAGAGTCCATGCATTTCATACTAAACAAAATGAACACGGTTAATCAAAACGAACACGGTTAATTAAAACGAATATGGATAAGCATTTCTTAACCTTTTTGGAAAAGCATAATAGACACAATAATTACTTATGTTATAAACTAATGCAAAACAGTCAAGTTAGATATTAAAAACATAACAAGGCACAAAAAATAGTGATTTCTAAAGTAGATGCATAAAAATGAAACTTTGGATCCAAATGAGGTACTTAAAAGCTTTGAAGAATTATAGATGATATTGGAGAAATTTGATTAACAGATATTTTTATAAAATTTCAAAAATTAAGAGTATTTCAGATAATTGGAGAAAAAATATTTTGATGCTAAAGTTTAAAAATAAAATAAATTTCTAAGATTATGCAAACTATACGAAAATCAAATTTAGGAGTCAAACAATAAAGTAATAAAAGAAAAAAAAAATAAAACATGAAATAATTATGCCAAAATTAGAGTATCAATTTAATTTATATCAGGAATGTCTAACTTGACTGTTTGTCCCAAAATAGACCCCCCATAGCCAATTTTGTGATAGAATATTACATTTCTCCAATTCAGACCCTCCCTTATTCAAAACTGATCAAGAATAATCCGTCATACAACAATTGTGACAAATTTATCCCAATTTAGTCCCTTGACTACAATATTGGTCCTAATTTAGTCCTAGAGAGACCATATCAACTTCAAGAGAACAGATTGGAGAAATGTGATACTCGGGCAATTTTGAGATTTAATCCAAACATAGTAGAGAAAAGGAATCTTCATGTATTTGTGCTTATCTTAAAATGACATGATTATCAACATAACAGATTTGTGCTCATTATGAAAAAAAAGCATGCATTTAAGATGTTAAATTTATTAAAAAAATGTATAATGGAACATTAATTATATTAGTAATAAATGTGAAATGACCAAAGAGATTCAATCATGATAGGTTTATATCAAGGGTTGACATTAAGTCCAATACATTTTGGCATTAGATTATGGGGATGCAAAAGAAAATTATTGTGATAAACATTGGCGTTTTTTTTTTTTTAAGATAATATGCTTAAGTTGTAGAACAAAGACTCATAATATGATATGAGATTCTAGTAGTGTGATATTATCAACTATCAGTCAAGGTAACTTGAGATGAAGTGATACCTAAATATGATGGTTAGGTATCTTAGATCTAATACATGAAATAATGGATCATTGTATGAGAACATAACTTCTATAGTCAAGATTTGGTGATTACAAATTGCGAAATGTCTTGACTGTAGTAAATAACCAGAAAATATCATATAGACATAAATTAAAATCTATAAAATTGCATTTAGCAAGTCATAGGCTATCGATCTTAGTTTCAAGCAATGAAAAAATCATTGATAGAGTTGAGCATGACAGAATGAAAACATTAAGATAGATATGTTAAAGAAATATAAATGATAAATTAAGAAATGTTATAATAGAGAAATGGTGGAATTAATATCTATTAAAGTTAAGCTGCTGAAAATAGATTTAGTTAATTTGAGCATGTGAAATAGAAGGTAAAATATGAACCAAAAAGAGTAGATAAAATAAAAATTAAAGAATATCCACATGAATTTTACTGTATGATCAAGTTACATGATTATTGATCCGTGAGTAAGAAGGAAACATGTGCATGTCAAAAATATGTTGAGAATATTAAAAATATGTATGATACAGCATTAACCAATATCAACAGTAGTTGTGGCCAACATGATTATTGATCCGTGAGTAAGAAGGAAACATGTACAGTAGTTGTAAAATTCCCAATCATTGTGGATTTACATCAAAGATCGGCATCAAGTCAAACAATTTTGTATTGGTTATGGAGATCTTAACAAAGAATATTGAAGTGAGAAGCCTCAGTATATGCCTTCCTGCATATGAAGTTCTAATCAGAAAGAGAAATTTAGAACATTGATAAGATAAAGAACATAGATTAAATGATATAATATTTTAGTTGAATTGATATTATCAATTGTCATTCAATATAAATTAAAAATCAAGTAATAAATTAATGTGATCATTACAAAAGAATAACATATCATTTTAGCAAAAAACTTTTAGAGTTAATGTTTGGTGGACAAAGTAAAAAAAAAACCTTGGGCATACTATATAATAGGAAAATATCATGGGGACTTCACAGAAATACTTTATAAGACATCAACTAGGCCAAGTATGTTCTATAGATCTAGGTTTTGAGCATCGAAGAAGTCATTAGTGGATGATTTGATTATGGAAAAAATGGAAACGTCAAAATGAATGTGTGAAAAGACTAAGAAGGATGGATTAAAAAAATATCTACTAGAAATGTGATGAGAGTACAATTATTGAAAAAGAAGGTAAAGGAAAATAAATTGAAATGATTCGGACACGTACAACAAAGGGTAAAGCATACAACAATAAGATAAGTTGATAAGACTAATGTTAAAGGATAAGAAAAGAAATGATAGACTGAAAATAACATGAATAGAAATTAGAAAAAAAGATTCGCAGAAAATATATTTAACAACTCATGAAATGCTAAACAAGAATGAAAGAACATCAAGGGTTCATAAAGTCAATGAATAAGGCTTCCACCAAAGCAGGGACTAAGATAGTGGTATATGCAGAGGGTCTTACCTTTACATTGCAAGGGCCTTGTTTCATTGACTTGAACAAATAACTTTCAAGTCACGATGGAGGCAACAAACTACTAGTGCAAGCTTATCGACTTGCATAGCAAGGATATAAACTGTTAAGTATGGAAGTTAAGAAGGGTCCAGAGTGTTCTTAATAGCACAGTGAAATGCAATATTTAAGTGAAGCAAAATACATTAAACAGTTACTGCAATCAGCAGCTCCAGAAAAGAATCAGTATGCTCACGAGCGGATATGCACCTATGCTACTGCAGATTGAAGCGCTAAAGACTATTTCAAGACTTCAATTATACAACGGTTGTTGACAATAAAGATGAAGCTGTTGCATGATTTAATAATTTTCTTCATTTTTAATTAATCCTTTTGCACCATGCTTTTACATCAGTTGACGTGCTGCTTATCTCAGTTTTAACTTGTTTTTCATAATCTTTTGAAGTTTTTATTTAAACTTCGGATAAAACTATCCGGATAACAATACAAACAAAGTCATTAAAAAATAGAATGTTCAGGTGAGTCGCAAATTTTTTAGTTCTCTATCATGCTTTCCGACCTATACAATATTTAAATTTCATTTTTTCTATTAGACGTAATGTTGCCCATCCATACTCTTATACTCTCTCAATCTTTACCTTTCTCCCTATGGAATTATGTGTTTCTTATTTAAATTTATTCCCATTTATTTCTCTATTAATATGTTGTAGTTCTTTCCTAATATATTTGTTGTAACTTTGGTAAGTTGTAATTGTAGGAATTATGCTTGCCCTAAAGTTTACTCTCTATATAATGAGAGGAGTTGTAATTTGAAGATTAAGGAATAAGAGAATTTTCTCTCTCATGATTTCCTTCAAGGTATCAGACCATTCATTGTTTAAATTTTTTTATCATTGGGTTTGATCGTGGTTGGCTTCCTTGCGTTCAAATGATTTGATCGTTGCTGCCTCCTCAACATTTCTGTCATTAGGATCATTCGAACGCATGTCGTTTCCTTCCCCTAGTTCGAATGACTCTGTCGTTGCCTCTACCTAATAGTCTCAGTTTCGCGAGCGGATCGAATCATCTCAAGTTCGTCGATTGTGGAATGGTTGACTAGCTGATTAGGAAGCCCTGCATCCACACATTTACAACTCTCCTACCAGCATCCATTGTTGTATTTCCGGCATCCCTCAATTATCGGCCCTCCACTACCATCTTCTCTCTAGTGACTTCCCAGAGGCCCTCCATTGGAATCCTCCATCCAACAATAATATTTCCTGCAAATCATCCCTCCGACGAGAAGCAGCTAGTCAGTTTTTTTTTAGCCTAAAACGTGCAAATGTTTGATGATAAAGTATGGATCTTATGGAATGATGATGTCTGACCCTACCTCGGAGGTTAGTTAATTCCGACTCAGATTCCAGGAATTTTGTCTAACTAGCCCCGGAACTTTCTACCTTTATCACAACCCATAAACTTCCTTCAATGGTCTCAATTAGTGTTTATGTACATTTGTGGAAAAGTTTAGTTAATTCCGACTCAGATTCCAGGAATTTTGTCCAACTAGCCCCGGAACTCTCTACCTTTATCACAACCCATAAACCCAACGACCATAAACTTCCTTCAATGGTCTCAATTAGTGTTTATATACATTTGTGGAAAAGTTAGATAGAAAAATCTCACGGGAGAGGGCACAGAGCACAGTTCATCAGGTCATTGATCCTTAACATCACTCAGGAAAGATCCAGGATCATATGATCATGTTTGGTTGATCAACCCTATGACCATC